TGTGTGTTCTAGATCTACACATCTTCTTTATCCATTCATCTATTGATGGACATTTGGGCTGCTTCCATAATTTGGCTATTATAAATGATGCTGCAGTAAATATAAGGGTGCATATACCTTTTCAAATTAATGTTGTTTTCTTTAGGTAAATACCCAGTAGTGGAATTACTGGATCATATGGTAATTCTATTTTTAATTTTTTGAGGAACCTCCAAACTGTTTTACACGGTGCTTGCACCTATTTACATTCCACAACGTCTGAGAGTTCCCTTTTCTCTGCATCCTTGCCAACACTTGGTGTTTCTTCTCTTTTTAATACTAGTCATTCTGACTGGTGCAAGGTGATTATCTCATTGTGATTTTGATTGGCATTTCCCTGATGATTAATGATGTTGAGCATCTTTTTCATGTGTCCATGAGCCATCTGTATGTCTTTGGAAAAATGTTCAGGTCCTCTGCCCATTTTTAAATCAGATTGGGGTTTTTTTGGTGTTGTCTAAGTTCTTTATGTATTTTGGATATTAGCCCCTTCTCAGATATATCATTGGCAAATATCTTCTCCCATTCACTTGGTTGCCTTTTTGTTTTGTTGATGGTTTTTGTTTTTTGCTGTGCAAAACTTTATTTTCATATAGTCTCAGTAGTTTATTTTTGCTTTTGTTTCCCGTGCCCAAGGAGAAATATCCATAAGTATGTTGTAAGGCTGATGTCCAAGAGATGACTGTGTTTTCTTTTATGGTTTCAGGTTGCACATTTAGGTCTTTAATTCATTTTGAGTTTACTTTTGTGTATGGTGTTAAGACAGTGGTCCAGCTTTGTTCTTTTGCATGTGGCTGTCCAGTTTTCCCAGCACCATTTATTGAAAAGACCCTCTGGATGTAGCCTGGGTGGCTCAGATGGTTAAGCGTCTGCCTTCGGCTCAGGTCATGATCCCAGGGTCCTGGGATCGAGTCCCGCATCAAGCTCCCTGCTCAGCGGGGAGCCTGCTTCTCCCTCTGCCTCTCTCTCTCTCTCTCATGAATAAATAAATAAATAAAGTTTAAAAAAAAATTAAAAAAAAAAAAAAGAAAAGACCCTCTTTTCCCCATTGTATATTCTTGGCTCCTTTGTTGTAGATTAATTGACCATATAAGTGTGGGTTTATTTCTGGGCTCTCTGTCCTGTTCCATTGATCCTTTTTTGTGCCAGTACCATACCATTTTGATTACTGTAGCTTTGTAGTATATCTTTAAGTGTGGGGTTATGATTTGTTCTTCTTTTTCAAGATTGCTTTGGCTATTCCAGGTCTTTTGTGGTTCCTGTGTAATTTTAGGATTATTTGTTCTAGTTTCATGAAAAATGCTATTGGTATTTTGATAGGGATTGCACTGACTCTCTGGATTGCTTTGGGAATTATGGACATTTTAACAATACTGCTTTTTCCAGTCCATGCACATGGTATATCTTTCCATTAGTGTCATCTTCAGTTTATTTCATCAATGTCTTTAAGTTTTCAGAGTTTAGGTCTTTCACCTCCTTGTTTAAATTTATTCCTAGGTATTTTATTCTTTGGGATGCAAATAAATTTTTTTAAAGATTTTATTTATTTATTTGAGAGAGAGAGAGCACAAGCAGGGGGAGGGGCAGAAAGAGAGGGAGAAGCAATCTCCCTTGCTGAGCTGGGAACCTGATGTGGGGCTTGATCCCAGGACCCTGGGATCATGACCTGAACCAAAGGCAGACACTTAACTGAGCCACCCAGGTGCCCCTCATTTATTAATTCTAAGAGTTTTTTGGTGGAGTGTTCAGGATTTTCTATATATAGCATCATGTCTTCTGCAAATAATGACAGTTTTACTTTCTTACCAATTTAAATGCTTTTCTTTTCCTTGTCTGATTGCTGAAGCTAGGACTTCTAGTACTACGTTGAATAAAAGTGGTGAGAATGGACATTCTTGTTTCTGATCTTAGAGGAAAAGCTTTCAGTTTTTCACCATTGAGTATGATGTTAGCTGTGTTTCATATTTTTTTATGTTGAGGTATGTTCCCTATAAACCCACTTTATTGAGAGTTTTTATCATGAATAGATGTTGTATTTGTCAAATGCTGTTTCTGAATATTGAGATGATCATATGGTTTCTATCTTTTAAGATTTTATTTATTTATTTGACAGTGAGAGAGAGCACAAGCAGGGGGAGCAGCAGAGGGCGAGGGAGAAGCAGGCTTTTTGCTGAGCAGGGAGCCCGATGCGGGGCTTGATCCCAGGACCCTGAGCAGACGCTTAATGACTGAGCCACCCAGGCGCCCAAACTTTTCTTTTGTTAATATGATGTATCACATTCCCTAGTTTGTGAATATTGAACCACCCTTGCATCTATGGAATAAATCTCACTTGATTTGAATGATCTTTTAATGTATTGTTGAATTCGGTTTGCTTATATTTTGTTGAGGATTTTTGCATCTGTGTTCATCAGGGATATTGGCCTGTGTTTTTCTTTTTTTGTAGTGTCTTTGGTTTTGGTAATGGTAATGCTGGCCTTAATGAATGTAGAAGTTTTCCTTCCTCTTCTGTTTTTTGAAATAGTTTGAGAAGAATAGGTTTTCACTCTTTTTAAGATGTTTGGTACAATTCATCTGTGAAGCCATCTGCTCTTGGACTTTGGTTTGAAAGGAGCCTGTTACTGTTGTTGTTTTTACTACTGATTCAGTTTTATAACTAGTAATTGGTTTGTTCAAATTTTCTATTCTTCCTTACTCATTTTTGGAAGATTGTATGTTTCTAGGAATTTATCCATTTCTTCTAGGATGTCCAATTTGTTGGCATATAAGTTTTCATAGTAGTCTCTTATAATCCTTTGTATTCTGTGTTGTCAGTTATTATTTCTTCTCCATTTTTTTTTTTAAGATTTCATTTATTTATTTGACCGAGAGAGAGCAGAAGCAGAGGAACGGGAGAAGGAGCAGTCTCCCCACTGAGCAGGGAGCCCCTCCCGATGGATCATGACCTGAGCTGAAGGCAGAGGCTTAACCAGCTGAGCCACCCGGCCACCCCTTCTCCTCCATTTCTGATTTTGAGTCTTCTTTCTTTTTTTTCTTGATCAGTCTGGCCAGAGGTTTATCAATTTGTTTATCTTTTCAAAGAACCAGCTCTTGGTTTCATTGATCTTTTCTCTTGTTTTTTTTAGTCTCTGTTTCATTTATTTCCACTCTCATCTTTATTATTTGCTTCCTTTTACTAACTTTGGGCTTTGTCGGTTTTTTTTTCTTAGCTCCTTAGGTGTCAGGTTAGATTATTTATTTGAGATTTTTCTTGTTTTTTGAAGTAAGCCTATATCACTATAAACTTCCCTCTTAGAACTGCTTTTGCTGTGTCCCAAAGATTTTGGACCATTTCATTTGTCTCCATGTATTTTTTTATTAACTATTTTATTTATTTATTGACTCATTGGCTGTTTAGTGGCATGTGGTTTAGCCTCCATGTGTTTGTATTTTTTCCAGTTCTTTTTTTTTTAAGATTTTATTTATTGGGATGCCTGCGTGGCTCAGTCAGTTAAGCGGCTGCCTTCAGCTTGGGTCATGATCCCAAGATCCTGGGATCTGAGCCCTGAGTTGGGCTCCCTGCTCAGCAGGGAGCCTGCTTCTCCCTCTCCCTCTGCCCCTCCCCCCCAATTGTGCGCGCTCTCTCTCTCTCTCTATCTCAAATATTTGTCAGAGAGACAAAGCACACAGCAGGGGGAACAGCAGGCAGAGGGAGAAGCAGACTCCCCGCCGATCAAGGAGCCCGATCTGGGACTTGATCCCAGGACCCTGGGATCATGACCTGAGCTGAAGGCAGACACTTAAGGGCCTAAGCCACACAGGCATCCCTCCAGTTCTTTTCATGTAATTGATTTCTAGTTTCATACCATTGTGGTTGGAAAAGATGCTTGATATGATTTCAGTCTTCTTAAATTTATTAAGACTTGTTTTGCGGCCTAATGTATGATCTTCCTGGAGGATGTTTCATATACCCTTAAAAAGAATGTATATTCTGGGGCACCTGAGTGGCCTAGTCAGTTAAGCATCTGCCTTTGGCTCAGGTCATGATCCCAGGGTCCTGGGATGGAGCCCCTCATCGGGCTCCCTCCTCAGCGGGGCGTCTGCTTGTCCCTCTCCCTCGGTCCCTCCCTCTCGCTTGTGCTCTCTTGCTTGCTAGCTCTCAAATAAGTAAGTAAGTAAATAAGTAAATAAACCTTTTTAAGGAAAAAAATTCATATTCAGCTATCTTTGGATGGAATGTTCTGTGTGTATCTGTTAGGGCCATCTGATGTAATGTGTTGTTCAAAGCCATTGTTTCTTTATTGATTTTCTGTCTGAAATGATTTATCCATTGATGTAATTGTGATGTTAAAGCCCCCTACTCTTCATTTTCTTCCTTTATGTCTGTTAGTATTTGCTTCATGTATTTAGGTGCTCCAGTGTTGGGTGCATCAATATTATAATTGCTGTATCCTCTTATTGGATTGATCCCTTTATCATTATGTAATGCCCTTCTTTGTCCCTGGCTGCAACCTTTGTTTTAAGGTCAGACAATCATTGTAATTATTAAAAGAAATTAAATACATCTTCCAAAGGTTTCATTCAAGAAGGGATTTATATTCTTGATATCTTGAAATAGTGTCTTATGGTCAGGAGCTGTATTCTAGAGGAACCACTTACTAGTCACTATGTGACTTTAGGAAAGTTACTTAATCTCTCTGTGTCTTGAGTTTATCTATGAAATGGGACTAATAATACCTTACTTTCTAGGGCAATTATGAGTATGAAAATAATGCATATGAAACATTTTGCTGAGTACTTGGTATATAATAGATGCTCCATAAATGTTGGTTGCTATGATTGTCATTAGCATGTAACAAAAGATGGAAGATTAAATTTTAGTCTCCTACCCCGTCTTCACTGAACTTATTAAGTTACTTATAAAACAAGTTTGTTAATAGTAACTTCCATTTAATTTAATTTTTTTTTTTTTCTGTTTGAAGGGCTATTGAGTGGCCAGACTTCCCCAACAAATACCAAATTGGAGAAATTGGATTCTCAGCAGGTGTTACAGCTCTGCCTTCGATATCAGGATCATCTTCATCAGTGTGCAGAGGCCGTTGCCTTTGATCAGAATGCTTTGGTTAAACGAATCAAAGAGGTAATGTACTGTGGGAAAATAACATCACTGGCTCATTATTGTGATTTCCTCCGACTCCCAAGTCCTTTTCTACCGGGAAGTAGAGCCAGTGATCCAGGCTTTATGGGGAATAGTCATTTTCTGATTTAGTCTTGCCATTTGTCCCCATTGCTTTAGATAGATTGTTTTTCCTAGCAGTAAAATGTAATGATGAAAAGGAGTAGTGCATGGAGCTGGAATTTGAAACCTGGTTCACCACTTCTTTGCTTGGATAAGTTACTGAACTTCTCCTGATCTCAGTTTTCTGATCTGAAAAAGAGTAGTAACCTATCCCAAGGGTTGAATGAAGATTAAAATTTCAGTAGGTGTTAGGTACTCTTAGTATGTAAAGTCCTGCCATACTAATTTGCTCTAGCTGATTCAAATCTTTGAATTGACTTTAGCTGTTTCCTATATGTAATTTATATTTTGTTTTCCAATAGGGTATCAGTTTGAGAGCAGGAGCCTTGATATCTCTTTCAATTATTTTTTCACAGTATGAGCACATGAAAAGCTCAGTGATTTTTATTGGTTAAATGGAAACAGTTATGCTTATTCTACCCACAAAGTTTTTGTGAGGGAAGGAGCAAGGTAATTCCTGTGAAAGTACTTAGAAAACTGAAGTGTGTGATACAGATGTTTAGTAATTATTAAGAATAATAAGGTACTTCAGTTAAACACTGAAATATATCGACTGGGCTGCTGCATGGTGTAGTACATACATTTTCCGAAGTTTTCAGTAAAGGGATTAAGATTCCTGATACCTTGAAGTAGTTTCATATAAAGAAAAGGAGCTCAATCTTGGAGAAACCACTCATGTTAATGGCAGCTCCTGGAGTTGTTTAACAAAATAGTCCTGGTCATTGACTCAGGCATAAGAAGAAGATGGATATGAGGAAACACACAAGTAAAGAGTTGAGAATCACTGCAAATAGATGTAGTAAATCCTTGAGATTACAAAGTTGTCACTAGGTATATTGATAGATTTAAATTTGCCAACACCTCTAATATTTTACTACTTACCTTTCATAAAATATATATGTATATGTTTCTCTCATGGCTTAAATAATTTTATTTGGAAGAGCATTCCAAATTTTCATTTTATATTTTCATATTGGTTGGCATTGTTGTGGCCTTTCAAATATTATAAACATATTTTACTGTATTATGATCTACAGAGATTTAAATCCCAAATGTGACTATGTTTGTTTTAATACTGAGTTTTCCTCTCCTGCCAGTAGGTCTAGGATGTGGTCTGTAAATCATTATTTTAATAAGCTTATCAAATGATACGGAATCCATTCTCCATTACCTGAGATTTGGGAACCACTAGCCTAGAGCACTGTTTTCCAAAATAAGTTCTACAAAACTAGTCCCATGTGAAGAAGGTCAAACTTTTTGCATATTCCATCACCACCCTTGGAAAGTCATGATGCATATTCTCTTTTTAAAAGTTCTTAGGAATCTTACAGGAAATAAAACTGGTGTTTTTCTTTTTTTATTATTTATAATTATTTTTTAAATTTTTATTTTATTGTTATGTTAATCACCATACATTACATCATTAGTTTTTGATGTAGTGTTCCATGATTCATTGTTTGCGTATAATACCCA